GCAGCGGCGGTGGTGGCGATGCGGATTCCAAACATAACAAGAGCAACAACAACAATAGCTATCCAGCTGCTGATAGTGGCAACAGCAACAATAATAGCTCTGGTAAAGACCGTAGTGATTGGGAAACAAGCAGTAATTGTCAGGCGCATTCAACGCACCAGCAGCATACGAAGGAGAAAATTGGTGAGCTGACCGCCAGAGTGTGTGAATAGACATAACTGATATGCGTATTTTTCTAATTGTCCATACAGATGATCATCGCACGTCGAAAAAATCGAACTCACATACCGCTTCCGGCGCGGCGTCAACGGTGGCGAATGGTAATGTTTTGCAGTATGACGTCGATGATGCTGTTGCCGTAGAACCAGTCGAACGCACTAAAGGTTTGGTTAACAGTTATATTACAAAATTATCCGAACCACTATTTTAATTTCCCTTCTGCAGGACGTCGCAACCGTGCACGCAAAGATAATGCTTCCAAGGACAATCACCACAATAATTCGCATAACAATAGCAACAATGCGAATAACTCCAATTCTCACTCGCACAATCATCATCAACAGAACAACAAGGATGCTACAGCAACACAAAACCATAATGGTACTAGCAATAATAACAATAACAACAACTCCGATGCCTCGTCGGTCTCCTCATCCACCTCATCAGCCAGTTCCACATCATCTTCATCCTCATCTGGAGCGTCTGCTTCAGCCTCGTCCACCATCTCGCATATAGCCTCAAAAGTGGTCTCAAAAATCTGTGAATCATGTCTCAAACTGGAAGCGGACGTCAAGAAGTACCGCACGGAATTGAGTCACATGAAACAAATTGAAAATGAACTGCGTCAGAAGCTCGAGTCAAATTTGACTACGAAATCCTGTTTGCAGGCCAAACAGAAAGAGTGTGACGAGCTCGAGAAACGCATACAGGAGCTCACGAATGGCCGGCACGCCGATATGTTGCAACTGCAGACTATCGAGCGACGTTTGGCAGAGGAGCGTCGCCAAAAGCAATCGCTGGACGCACAATTAAATAACGAGAAGAAAGCCCGCAAAAATGCCGAAGAAAAAGCAGCCCGCCCGGAATGTAGTGCACAGTGCAAGCAACGCAAACAGCAAATAGACGAAGAGCTTAAGCAGCTGCGACGCGATCTGAAATCAGCCGAAGAAGCAAAGCAGATGGCGGAGCAGCACGGCCGCAAATGGGAGCAGGAGGTTTGCGACGTTGTGTTATAAATGTTCCCACAATTAAAACTTAATTATATCTGTTTTTTTCAGTTGCGTATGTTTGAGGCTGAGATACGTAATCGCGATTCAGCGCAGCCTGGCACTGAGATGCTGATGAATGCATTAGCCGCGATGCAGGATAAAAACTGTACGCTTGAAAAGAATCTTTCGGCCGAGACGAGAGTTAAGCTGGACTTATTCTCAGCTCTGGGCGACGCCAAACGGCAACTGGAGATATCGGAAAGTAGGTTGCACATTGTCTGCCGTAGTATGGTTTTATCAGTCACGACTCAATTTTGTAGGTCGCCGTCGCTCCAAGGAGGATGAAGTGCTTGATTTAAAGGCAAAAATAGCTCAACTGCTCTGCGTTATGCCTACAGATCAACTGCTGCCTGCCTGTGGCTCAGCCAGCGCGAGTTCTATGTTACGTATGAATGATACGCCACCGCTACAGACAGGTCCCGGGCCCGCATCGCCTATGCTGAGCAGCCTCAGTGCTGCAGCAGCTGCACATCAAGCCGCGGCGGCGGCTGCATCAGCAGTAGCCGCGGCAGCTGGTCATCCGCTATCAGCACGCGGGGGTCCACCGAATTCTGTAGCCGACTATGGTATGCAGCAAGCGCCGCCCGATTATGTAACGGCTCAGCATCAACATCAACACCAGCAGCAACAACAGCACCAGCAGCAGCTCCATCAACAGCAGCAGCAACTTCAGCATCAGCAGCAACAACAGCAATTGAATCAACAGCAACATCAGCAATTGAATCAACAGCAACATCAGCAGTTGAATCAACAGCAGCATCAGCAATTGAATCAACAGCAACATCAGCAACATCAACAGCATCAGCAGCATCAGCATCAGCAACACCAGCAGCATCATCAACACCAGCAACAACAACAACAGCAACAGCAGCAGCAACAACAGCAAGTGCCCGTATCAGTGGGCCCAACTGTATTTGTGTCGGCGTCCTCACCGGGTGGTGGCAGCGCTGGTGGCGGCAGCAGCGGCTCCAGTCTTGACCCGAATGCGACTGTGTACACACCGAAGGGTGGACCGGCTGCATCTGGCAGTGGTGGGGTTGGAGTCTCAGTAGGCAGCGCCGGTGATGCCTGACAACATCCTGCATCTGTGGGCTCCGTCAGCCACCTGATGCGACGTAACGTTTGAGATTGAGATTATTATTTAAGTTATTGATACATCCTCAACAGATACTGCAACAAAAACAACCGCATCTACAACAGCATGTAATATTAATACAACTATTTGCAAGATATTTAAAAAAACAAGCAAGGAGTGTGTTGGCAGTAAGTTATATGGTTTGTAAAAATGAGAAAAAGATGAAAGTTTGAGGTAGACATCAGCTTGCTAGCTTAAAGCAGTGCTCAGTGCAGTTGCAAACCATTTAAGAAGGAAAATAATATTGATAAACAAAAACAAAAAAATTATTAACTAACAGAGCAAAGGATACAAAATCAGCAAGAACAACCAACATGAACATGGGCATGAAAATTCAAATGAACATGATATTATCTTATTGAAAAAAAACACAAGAAAAACAAAAAACATAAATTAAAAGAAAAATGAAAGAAACTACATAATCATAAGCTTTAATTATTTAGTCAAGTGTGGCCCAAGGATGTGAGTAGCTGTGAGTTAAGGGAGGCAGTTACACATGCAATTGACTAACGGTAAGGCTTTTTTCTGTGCCATTTTTCTTTTATTTAATTATCATTATTTTGGAATTAAAATACATACAACACATTCTCGAACCAAAAAAATCAAAAATATAGAACATAGCTTTCTATATTATTTGATATAATTTCAAACATTGTAGAAATTTAAAAGAATCGTAAAAATTTCAAACTTCTCAGAATTTTTTTGAGTAGGTATTCAGTTTTGTGGCCCAAAGACTCTCGCACACTGGACTGCTCAGACGACTTAAAACCGGTTTTGTATTGGCAAGAGGGGGAGAGAGCGCGAATTTACCTCGTCCATCTCACTCCGAGAAAATTGCGGATTGACGTTGGACTGATAGAAAAGAAAGAGAGAAAGCACTTGTATACCATTTAGCTCGCGTCACTCCAGGAGGGGCCATTCTGTAACGCGATACGAAACAGGAATGCGATGCGATAGGCAAATATGTCGTAAGTAATACGCTGTGTAATTGCCTATCGCATTGCATTTCTCTTTCGCATCGCTTTACAAGAGGAGCCACCAGCAGTCGCAATGGCCGAGCACAAGCGTGCCAATCGAGAGATCCGTGTTCGGGTCCTGGCACGGCGGAACTTTTGAAAACTTTTTTAATCAAATTATATTTTTTAAATTTAGGTTTGCAGAGTATTTTTAGATTTTATGATGTAAAAAAGAAGTTTTATTGTTTTAAGAAGAAAAGCATATTTTTTTATTTAATTTCATTGTTAGGATCCTATAAATTTAAAAAAGGAGGAGGTTATCAGTTCGTCGGAATATTTTTTTTTTATGTATGTTACCGCATAACTTTCGACCACGTCAACCGATTTCGTTAATTCTTTTTGCATCGGAAAGGTAGGGTCTCAGAGGTGCTCCCATATTAATCTGGTCTTTTTATATGAGAATTGAAGTCGGTTTTGTTTTTTGCTTAAAAAGTGCTCCCATATTAATCTGGTCTTTTTATATGAGAATTGAATTGAATTTTTTTTTTTGCTTAAAAATTACTTGTTTTCAATTGTGCTTGTCTTTAGTAAAATATTTTTAATCTAATTTAATTTTTAAGTACTCTTCCACTTTTTCTTTATCAAATTTAGTTTTCTTTTTTTATAAATTTTTTTTTAAAGGTTGTTCACACCTGCTTGGTTAGGAGGTTATCTGGTTATGTGATTATATTTTTTGTTCAGTTTACAACGATAAAATACACTACAGAATAATAATTTTTAACCAGAAAACCTGATAACCAAGCAACTGAAGAACCTAATTGTTTTAAAACTAAAAATATATGTTTTTTAATATATTTTAAACTGATTGCTAAAAGACGAACAGCATAATGCTAAGACCTCCTCATTAGCAGGGGGGCTACTCTGTAATGTGATGCGATCGGCAATTGCACAGCTTATTACTTACGATATATTTGCCTATCGTATCGCATTACAGAGTGATGCTGAAGTTGAGCCATTAGAATGCAGCAAATTATATAAAAAAATTGTGTTTGCTGATTTTAATTATTCTAGAACCGAAAGCCATGCATGGCCAAACAAAATGCAAGGCGAATTTAATAAGGTGATGCTACCGGTGAATCTGAATTTTACGCCGTGGAGAAAATAATGTCAAAATAATGTGTTTGTTGTATACGGATAACACCACCTTATTAAATTTGTTTTTTTTTTTTTTTTGAGATTTGGGTTGGTTGGCAGGAACTTCAATTCCCCTAACCTTTTAGGCGAATTGAGATTTTGACAACACCCATAACACAAAGGCTGCATTTCTTTATTCATTCTGAACGTTTGGAATAAACTTTTTTGTTTACATATTGGCTGCGTTTCTTTATACATTCCGGATAATCCCATTTCACAGCCGGAATAAACAGAATGCGTTTGAAATATACGTCAGCATATAATCAGGAACGTTCGAAGGAATAAGTAAACAAAAAAGTTTATTCCAAACGTTCAGAATGAATAAAGAAATGCAGCCATTCTTTAGAACGTTCCTGATGATATGTTAACGTATATTTCAAACGTATTCTGTTTATTCCGGCTGTGAAATGGGATTATCCGGAATGTATAAAGAAACGCAGCCAAAATTCATGCGACAGTTTTTGTGTTGTTTCAATCACCTTGTGTGAATACTCCTTGTGCTACTGCCTGCTACCTTATATAAATACGTCTTGGTGTGTACAATTATGCAATTTGACAACACTACTCTCAGCTGTGCACTTTTCGATAATAGTTGTGCTCATCTCTAAATTATTGCAATCACAACTCAAATTTTATTTTGTTTTGTTTTGTTGATGGGTGTTTAATTTGATGGACTTTTCTTGTATTAAACATATAATTCCAAATGGTGCGAATACGTGGAATCAAGTGTGCGGTAGCAGACGATAATCATAAACTGCAGCAGCCCAGCACTACTATTAAGGATCCCAGGCTTATAGAATTCGTGCGCAAACGACGGATTGATTTTCGCGCTGAAGAGCCGGTTTGTAAAAAATGTGCCGAGGGGTTGAAGAGAATATATTTGGAGAAGCTTAAGCGAGCCGAAGAACTAAAAAAAACGCAAAGATCTTTGGAGTTATCCTCATCAGTTACAGATCAAGAAGAAACCATTACCAGCCGACAGCAACGGGCATTGCAAGCGGCAAAGAAAAGTACCACAACTACAACGACAACAGGAGCCAGTGAAGAGCAACATAGTACCTCACAATCAACACTTGACGAAGGGCCATCCACTAGTGCGGCGGCAGCGGCGGCAGCGGCAGCCCGAAAACGTAGACATGTGGTGGCAGATGATACAGATGCTGATGATGATGACGATGAGTATGTGCCTAGTCCAAATGCATTAAATGGTACACGCCTACCAAACATACAGCCCATACCCAAGCGCAAAAAATTTGTACACGCAAACCCAGATGTGCTAAATATCTATATGGCGGGTATAACAGGCGGGTAATTGCATGAATGCACTTAAAACTGTTATATATTTTGAGTCTGCAACTTTAAACGACTGAGTAAATAATTTTATACTGTTGATTTTAAATTTAATTGTAGTTAAATTGTGAATAACTATTTTTTTCTGTAACAAACCTTTGACTTTGTATAAAAAAATGTGCTAATTAGGGCCAGTTTTTCGCCCGATCTGGCTGGTTTAAACTAAGATCAGCCAATCAAATGTCAGTCAGCTGTTCAATTTAAACTCTGTCTACTTAATCTAAGTTTAAACTCGAACTGAAAAACTGGCCCTTAATTGATTAAATCAAGTATGTATTACTACTTAACTACATATTCGCCTGCTTCTCAGCAGTTACTTAAATAAGGTACATAATAGAAGAATTAAAAAATTTAAATGCGTTGAATTTGCACTAGGTTTTCTTAGCGTTTCTCATAGCCCAAGGATAAAGTTAGATTTCGAAGGGTGAAGGGAATGCGCTGTAAAAAATACCTAAAATGCTGCATCTCAAATTCTAAAGAGCGTGTCAGACGCGTGGCAATGGTTTGGGGAGTAATCTGGTTTTCGTACGAATCGAAAATCATGAAATTTTCCTATCATTTTGTACTCAAAAATTTCAAATTTTCGATTCGTACGAAAACCAGAATACGCCTCATTATATTTCGAAAAGGCTGTCAAAACTAGAAATATCAGAAAGCAGTTTCATTTAAAATGTCTTTCGAAAGAGATTTTTGGTTTACGAAAGCCGAAATGCAGGGAAACATAATTAAGCGTTATTATTTCTCACAAACTCGTGTTCAGTGTCACATGGCAACAAACGTGCAGCAGAAATACAAAATTGCTACTGCAGTACGAGCAAGTTTAAATGGATTTTCGAAGTAACAGATAAACAAAGAAGAAGAGGAAGAGCCTTCAACAAAACTAGAGATGAAACGATACCATGCAGGTATCGATGCTTTTACTTGCAGGTAGTAGGAAAAGCTAGTATCGATGGCTCGAACGTATCGATACCAAACTTACTTAAGCTGATGGGAGACAAAACGCTTGATCCGCTTTTCGTGAAAGATTCGCTTGACAGCTACCTTGCAAAAATCGCGACTACTCCATGCATGCGTGTAAAGAGTACTCCCTAAGGACCAAAGAGTACTCCAAAATTAACCACAATTCATATAAAAAATATGGTCCAATTAACATTGCGATGTCCTAGGGCAGGACCATATACTCCATCCCTGCATTACATCAGAGTAGCACAAAACTACTCCAACATATTAACAATGGCATTGTTGTTATATTTTTTCGTTTGTACAC